CGTTCACTTCGCGTAGCGCTGAAATTATAGTCTCGCATCTTTGTTTCTTTGAGCCGATTCTTGGAAACATTTGTTTTACCAGAGAAGAGTACTCTAGCTCGTTCCTAAGCAACTTAAACAACTTTGAAAACGTTGAAAGACATACCAATCGCTGTTTGCGTTTTAGTTTTCTTCAAGTACACCATCTCCGAAAGATCAACGTAAAACACGAATAATGCCTTCCTCTCGCGGTAGTACGTACATCCCCGCAATGACGAGATGCTCGTGTTATCCGAATCTATCTAGTCTTTCAATGAATTGTTTATGGGGGGCTGTGAACACACCAATAGCTGCCACGCGGGACTTACACTTGCACGTACGCACGAGTTGAGAGCAACCTCAAACTTGGGTAATTAAACTTTATTATTAGAAAGGTAAACAATATTATGCGTTAACGAAACATCAAAATAAACTAATCATAATAAACTAATCTAAAGTCACCTAAAGGACCTAAGCCTAGACTAGCATAAAGAGATGCAAATGGCTAGAGCAAAAGGACTGTGAGAACAGGCAAACAATCGAACCCACTACAACTACGAACAGTGCAAGTGAAAGGATATTCAATACCGTGACATTTCTATGAAGAAGAGAATCATGAAATAATGGGACTGTGAATAAGTAGAAGATGAGCAAACTGTGTTTAGTAAAGCTTTATCATGGCAAAAGTGACTTTTGGGTCTGTGGCTGTGTAGTTTATCCAAAAGGTCTGTGATCTGCGAAGCAAGCAACAAACAAAGTAATAAGAAGAATAAAAGGAACAAGAGAAGAAACAAAATAAGAAAATAAGAAAATAAATGTTATACGCATACATTGAATCTGCCGTGTCTTATTATCGACTTATATATCGGAAGCATTGGAATTATAAACAAAGGTCATCGGGTCTGTGAAAGCTACTGATAAGCTGCAAATGATGTTATATTTCTTCTTTCACATTCTCCGCGGCTCAAAGAACAATACGAACATCGAGTTCGTATATTCAAGAAGTTGTTGAAGCAGAATTTTGAGGAGAGGATTCACGAACATAATGGGTGTAAGCACCGCGTAGATTTCCCTCAAAAATTCTGTTACATTATTTTTTTAAAATGTAGCGCCTACCGTCGAACGGCAGGCAACAATCTGCTGACGTCAACAAAATAATCTTCTCTTCGTCTCTTTCCTTCTTCTCTCACTCTTTCTCTCTCCCTTTTCAAGAAAACCCATGTCTTGTCTTTCCACAAAGTCCCCTCAACTTGTCTCTCCGTGACGGTCATGAATTAACGACCAAGAGTAGAAAATAAGACAGGCTAAAGTATCCTTGGCGGGAACTGTTCCACTAGTTAGCGCTTCAAATAAAGAATCCTAAAAGCTTTTTCGCCATTTTCGCTAGTTCCAAGGTGATTTTCGAGATCAACGTGATGGAAAACAAGTAAGCAAAAATTTTAGATTGAAGCTTGCCTTCAAGCACCTTCCCGAGTGCTCAAAAGAACTTACTCAGAATAAGAAATGTGAGACCGGTAATAGGATGAGTTTTAAAAAAGTTACAGCATTAGCGCCGGAAGGCTGTGAATTGCCCATTTCATTTTGCATCATCCTAATGTGATCCTGTTCGCAGTAAGTGCCAGCGTAGGGAGAACGTAGAAATTTACGAGGTCATATATTCAAAATGCAAAAAAAACCTGCCTATACCTGAAATGGTATTAAGTAATGCTTCAGTAATGGATGTTAGTGTCTAGCTAGTCTTTTCTTCGATTTCTGCAATCACTAAGTGTACTTGAAAGTATTCTAAAATGATAGACTTGTTTAATTACCAGTAATTGAGTAGGCAGCAACCGAGCAAACTTCATGCTTCTGTTTTCTCCTATTCTATTTGTTTTCGTTGTGCTCCTCGCTCAATACGACTGTTGTTAGCAATTACGTTTTTTCCTCTGCCGCAAATAAAATTTCTCTCGAATTGGTTCATCGAACAGAATGATAGTTCCATTCTAACTGTGCTTGATCGCTCCTGTCCTGTCTTTTTCTCTTCCACTTGCGATTTTCTCAACTAGAATTTACCTTTTACGGAAAGAAAACATTCGTTTTAGACAAGCGCTTAAAGAAACCAGTTATGTGCAGAATAACAGAACTTATACACAGAAACTTGATTACCAGCATTTTTCCTCGACCAATGTGGACTCAATAAGCAAGGATCATGAAAAGTGTTTGTCTAGTGTAGAGACAGTAAAGTAGTGTCGACACGTTTCTGGTTTCGCTCTCTTCCCTTTTTAGGAAAAATGGAAGATTTGCCAATATTGTGTGTGTAGTAAACCACTGCTTTACTTACTGCGTCCTGGCCGGTTTGCTTGCAAATGAAGCATTGCGCATTTTATAGCAGACTATGTTCTTTTCTTCTTTGTCGTCGTACTTTCCACGGAAATGTCGCCGAAGCTGTAGAATAAGTTGTTCACTTTTTATTTGGCTACTATAAATAATTTACTGCATTTCAATGTCGAATTATCATCGCTTCCCGCACGATGAGTTCTTCCTTGCATGCTATCACCGGAAACTGCTTGCGCAAGCTTTTTGCCAGCATTTCTTGGCCTTCACTTCCTCCCAATTCCACTTTTTTCAAGAGAATTTTGGAAAAAGTTTTGCTATCCCAAATCTTGAAGTTTGGTCTTTTCTTGAAAGAACATCTGTGGGGGATCTGTGAGAATGCTGCGATACGCCTGCTTTTAATTGCAAAATCTTTTCCGTACTTCTGACACAGAAATTTCAAGATCAAGTAAAAGAGTATCAAACGCGTTTCGTAAAACAAATTCTTCTCCTCAGACTGGAAATCCTGAAACTAATTGATGCCGACGAGAATATAGAGGAATTACTTTCAATGTGGAATATGAAATTTCCAGCAAAATTCAGCTGAATTCTTGCAACCAAACTTCAAGTATGGGTGGACTCGGTTTCCTTATGCCATTTTCCACACTTCTTGACAAGAATAATGCGCGCCCGTATCACTCAAAGTTAGCTAGAATTTCACTTAAAAAATGATTAATTATAATATCCGTATGTTCTTATAAGTGAGGCTCGCAAGCACTATCTGGAACCCTTTCCTTTTTTGCAACCAGGAACATGCTAATAGATCAGCAGCTACCGAAACTGGTTTTGAATTATGCTGTTGTTGCTAACAAATTCAGCCATACCCTTTGTGCCAGCGAAAATCTAATTAACCAAAATTGGTATTTTATGATTATAAATAGATTTTTCTTCTGCGTGCAAAGAGTGAAAATTTATGGTGCAACCTTGAACAAACTTGGTATCCTGTTTTATGTCTAATATAGTCTGCAAGCGTGTCCGCTTACAACCAGCCGCACCTGGATACCTCGATCGAGATCAACAAAAAAAAGGAGCATGCAGCAAACCGGTAGTAATTATTCAAAAAAACTGTTTTGTCGAAGTGTCACAGCATATGCTCTGCATAATCATCGTTTTTTTCTTGTTCCAGTCTAGGAGGGTCAAAGAAGACATAGGAGTCTGCGTCTACTGTCTGTTCTTGATTTCTTGCAAAACTATATCACATCTACGTTTACCTTAGGTCAAACTAATGCTCATACTATAAGCTACTGAATTTTTTATTCTTTTTTCTTTGAAAAAACATTAGTACAATAGTCTCTATAGAGTGAACCAATCAAAGCCATATATGTATCTTCATTTTGACTGGCAAATGGTGGACATTTAAGGAACTTTGATGGACAATAGTAACAGTCGGCCATCAATAGGTATTTCTTTACTGTCATTCTGTGCATCCAATTGAATCCTGTGCCATGAAGGAGACATTTCTCATTTTTTCTTCAATTTTATGTTCTTTTTAAAAAAAGTTTTATCTGTCAAAAAACTATTCAAATCGTTTTCGGATATATGATGAATTCCAAATGTAAAAGTAAAGTGCACTAAGCCGTAAAATTTGGCAGACGGTAGCGAAAGATGTCTGGCTAGCTAAGGCGCCTTGTTTGGCAGTCTCAAATGTCCTAGCAAAATGAAAAAGATTTTTCTCAATGGCAGCAGAAAATTTGGTGTCTAGCGGCCGCCTCTCGCTGAAAAGAGGGTAAAACAAAAAATTCACTTTTTTTTTCACTTCCGCCTGTCAAACAGACACCTAGAAAAGCTGGGAGGCCCCTTTGACAGTGCCTATAACAAATTGATATCTACTGCTAAGAAGAGAAGGTTAGTCGAAGTGGCCTTCTAATACAAAACGGGTACTGGCTTTATGAAATGCTGATTCCTCTAAATCCACCTTCCTTATCTGTTGCGGGTTCCTGGGCGAGATGTTACGGGTTTTCATAGCAAAAATGCATGTGCAGCTAGGATGAAATCACCCGTAGCATTTTTCCTACGGCTCGAATGAGTTTAGTGTTTCAATCTTATTTATTGCTTTGTGCAATACATATCAATGTGAACAGATTTAGTTGAGCCACTTCGAAACGCTAGTAAGTGTCAACGACTATGCTAGTCATGCCAAATTTTTTGCCCATAAAAACCTTCAAAACTTCCTGCTTAGAAACCCGCAGCAGATAAGAAAGGTAGGTAGGGCACTATATGCGCCGAAAGTGGGAGGTCCCGCTGGACTTCTGCAACAAATGCACATTCCATTACATGCACAGGCTGAGTATCTGTTGCATTGTCTGCGCGGGACCCTCCAAAACTTCGGCGACATACAGTGCTCCACCAGAAAGGTATATTTGATACAGTGTTTTGTACTCTTCGAGTCAGTCTACATTTCGTACAGAAAGGCCACTTCGACTTACTTCCTTCCTTTGAAAGACCATAACTTCTTCATCAATCTTTCATTCCTCTCCACAAATTTTGTATTTCTACCTTGTACGCAAATCTCCACAAAATGCATGGTTGTCACAGTCATTCGCATGCCAGCGTATAAATCTATTTGAATTACTATAGCAAAGGCGCACATTTGTTACTTTACAGACGGCTGGGCTGGGTGATCGAGTGAGATGGAGGAAAAGGACAAGAAGGACATCACCGGCTATCGTCGTCTCACATTCGCTGGCGTCACAGTGTCGGCGATAGCGTCGATGACGTCGATAATTATTGTCCCACTTCTATTCTCACATGCACAACGGATACAGTCGCAACTGGACGTGGAACTGCGTTTTTGTGTAATGAGCACACATAATCTGTTCGACGAATTGTTGAAGGTACGCCTGGCTGCTGCTGGCTGTGCTAGCGGTATGATGATTGAGTAGTGGAGTGACCCCCCCCCCCCAAAACCGCAATTAAGTGCACCCTCTTGCGATCCACTTTCACTAGTGTGCGTAACTGAATAACTCAAGTTGATAAGTGGTCTCACGTGGACATCTACTCGTTCCACTAGTTTCACGTTAGCAACGACAAATTCCCGTAGTGAGTGAATGGTTGCAATTGACGGAAAAGGGTAGTGGGTTTGGTGTACGTCCGTGTGACCAAAAATTTGAGAGAAAAAAGCGCAAAATGCCAGTGCTCGAATTGCGGAAAGTGTGAATTTCTTGAATGGGGACACTTGACGAATTTCTTACAATAGCTCCGTTGGAATTTATGCCAAGTAATATCACTGGAATGATCAAACAAAAGTTTTAGAGATAACAGACGTAAACATTATGAGTACACTTTGATTTTGAGGATTTTCACAGATTCGAACAGCTTTAATTTTTAAACGAAGTCAGCTTTGACGTATAGTCGAGAGAGATTCGGAGCAACCCAATAATCTGCGATTTAGAGAAAATCACTGAAATTTTTATGCTCGTCAGCCACAAAAATTATGCCTAAATCATTAGGGCTAGGCTTATAACCATAACCTAAGCTTATCAAATGCGAAATGCGAGATTTGCATGTTTAAAAGTCTCATTTATTTGCTAGCACTCCCAAAGTCTATTTTATTCCAAATCATTTCAAACTTCGAGGAAAATTCACCTTTGTCGGGAGTATCAGTAGTAGTCGCAACAATATGCTTTTTGATTAATTGAAAGAATCTTCCGACTACTCGAATTTGCGGTGCATTGTCGTACTTTGCTGAGTCAGTCACAGTTCGCGGCGGTCATGCTTAGCACTATTAGCGACTAGATAGTACAATGAAAACAAATCGAATCAGCTTAAAAAAGCCAGTCGAGTATTCGCGGGCTACTCCTTTCAGGAATGTAGTGAATGTGGATGCTGCAAGGGACGTATTTTTTAAGGTTTAGTAGTCGGGTGAAAATTCGGAAAATATTAACGTCATTGCAGGAGTTTTGGTTCTCTAAGAATCAGTGGAACTGTTACTTTACAATCCGTCAATGTTTAAGAAAAAAAGTCAAGTTTACTAGCAGCTAAACACCCGCGATAAAGTTCCAATGGCGGACCAAGGGGCCTCCCCCCTATTTCCTGAATGGATGGCGAAATTTTTGAGTTGTTTACACCAGGTATAAAAATTGCCAAGTGTCTTACTGCTTTCACATGTTGATAATCAGATTTTTAAAAATTCTCGGAAATGCCAAATCACTGATCAAAATTGCTGAAGATAATCTTGAACACTTGGTGTCTTTTTCATCGAAGAAAAACTCTAACGATTTCTTGAAAAATGTTCAGGTGAGCTGAAACATGTTAATCGTCAAAAGCATTGTGGATAATTCTATCAAACTCATACATATGAAGAACTCACGCCACAAAAACATAATCAGCACATTTCAGTCTCAAAGAATAGGACATAAAAATAGCGTGACCTTTAGATCAAGTTTGTGGGGTGTATGTCAAGAGGCGCGCAGGAATTGCTCGATATTATCATCTTAAAATCGATTCAAAACAGAATTGTTGAAGGTCAAAAACTCCCATGAAAATGCAGTTTATAGCAATTTTGTATTTATTTCAGTCAGTTTCAGCAAAAGTCGTCGAACTTGTTGAATGGTTACTTCAAACAGCTAGTAAGCCGATGGACTTTGTCCTGCACTTTCTGAACCCTCCCACAGCAAGAAACTGAAGTTTTAAGTTGGTGACAGCCAGAAATTCGCGCCTCTTGACCCAAGTTTGTGCTGGTAGCTCACAAAATCTGCCAAAGAACGATAAGCGGTAGGACCTCCAATCGAAATATTAGGTTGGCCCGAAAGTTCTTTCGCACCATTTTCAAAAATTCATAACTCTCGGTTCTTTTAGCCGATTTGCATGCTTTCATTTTTATTTAAAAGAGCAATTCATTCTCTTCATAGCGGTTCCTCAGCGGCTTTCTCATGTGCATACACTGCGTAGATAGGAGCGTTAGAAGAAATTTAGTCAGATTTTGAATTTTCTGTGTAGGGTCATAAACGGTCTGAAACTTGCAGTAAAAATCGGAGCAGTCAGTATTATAGGTTCTATAACCAGCTCTTTCTAACTGTGCACAGTGTGCTGATGTTCGCGTGTCTACAAAAAGTTATGTTTTTCGAGAAAGCAATACAAAAGGGCGACTTTTGATTTACTTTGGCATTTTTCAGGGATATCGTAACTTTTCATAGAGACGCTCAATCGGCGCAGACTTTGCGTTGTTAGAAAGAGCTGGTGAAAGAACCTACAATACCGACTGCTCCGATTTTTACTGCAGGTTTCAGATTTTTTATGACCCTACACAGAAAATTCGAATTTTGACTGATTTTCTTCTACCGCTCCTATCTATGCAACAGATGATCACTAGTAAGCAGCTAAGATGACATTATAAAGAGCAGACATATCCTTTCATACAAAAATAAAACCGGTCAAATCGGTTGGAGAAATCAGAAGTTATGAATTTTTGAATTTAGTGCGAAAAAACTTTCGGGCCAACCTAATATTTCGAAAATTTGACTTTGTGTAAGGCAGTCATTAACGAGGAGGTGTAAAGAGTAGCGTACGAAAGACTTCATAATTGATCTGCAACCAACATCGTGGAGTTTGAGAGCAAATGAATTCTGAACCATGTATAAGGTACCCTAAATGATGCAAAATTATTTTGAAATACCCGAGTTGCTTTCCTAAAAAAGCTTCCTCAAATCTCCCATTTGCAGCATCTGCAGCACAAAATTTGTTGTGTTTGTTGTGCATGATCATTCGGCGGCAATGCATCTAAATGAGTAAACAAAGCAAATCAAGTGAAGAAAAATCTAAGTTTTCTTGAAAAGAGTTTTTCAGTATTTTCTGCTTGAGTTGCTGCCTTATGAGGTTTCCTGCAGCGCAAGCTATGTTTCCTCGGTTTCTCGTTTGTTCATTGGAGATAGATAGCTCAAAATTCGCTAATAACTAAACATTTTAGAGTACAGATATCCGGAAATATTACCTTTGAAAGGCACCTAATATTTTAAGGTCGAGCAAATAACTGGACATCAGAGTCGAGTGAAACGTGGTTATGCTGCACGCGGCGCATATGCACAACCTCCACCGGTTCGTTTAATTGATCAGTCATCAAATTCCATTTATAGCGAGTCTGAGAACTATAATCAATTGTGTCATAGTGTAAAAATACTCTATTTATGTGTTTTCTTTGCTTTCAGATGCCGTCCTCGTATGCTCGACCTCAAACATTCCCGGTTTGTTCATTTATAAAATTGTAGCACATGGATGTGAAATTAGGCATTTTGCAGCAGATGCCGGTTGTTCGACCCCAAACCTACATTCAGCCCCAGGCACAAGTGAGGAAGGTAACGTGAGCGAATAATTGCATAGTACAGATTTTTTCAACTTTCATTTAGATTTGTTTACGAGGTCCTGCAGGTCCACCGGGACCTCCCGGTAAAGATGGAGAGAATGGTAATGATGGCATGCCCGGCCCTGATGGTCCGCCAGGAGAGGATGCAGCTGGAGGAAATGGAGGACCATCAAAAGCTGAAATGTGCTTCACTTGTCCACCTGGCCCTATGGGCAGACCGGGAAGACCAGGACCCAAGGTGAGTCGCACCGCAAAACTTGAAAATGTATACAACAGTTTCTCCAATTTCCAGGGACCTCCTGGCCAACCTGGACTACCAGGCAGTATGGGCACAGCACTTCCTGGTCCACCCGGTCCACCAGGACCGCCTGGGCCCCCTGGAGAAGATGGCCCTCCTGGGCTTCCCGGACAACCCGGGGCGCCTGGTGTGATGACCGGTGGAGCGCAGATCGTAGGACCGCCGGGACCACCTGGACCACCTGGACCACCAGGACCACCAGGACCACCTGGCGAATCTGGAGGCTCAGCGCCAGGAGTGCCTGGTCCTCCTGGAGACATGGGACCACCCGGCGCCCCTGGACGTCCAGGACCACCGGGACCAGCTGGCCCGCCTGGAGGAGCTGGTGGTAAAGGAATGTGTGATCATTGCCCACCACCTCGGCTTTCACCCGGATATTAGTCAGAACTTTTTTGTGTCCGAACTCAGACATTTTGGATGTTCAAACTCGTCATCAGTTGATTCCAGCAACCTCTGGCACATTTTAGCCCAAGCTACTAAGAAGACAAACCCTCTGTCTGATGTAAACTCCTTTTTTCTTACCGACTCGGTAGCTAGCCCGTAGATTCTCATAAATTATAGAAATCGTAGTGTTACTGACACTGTTAATATTGTACTGCTCAAAATGAATGTCTTGAATAAATATTTTTGTACAGGAACACACTTTTCTTGAAGAAAGTTTGCTCTTATCGGCTCTTCTCAAACTGGCTAAGACTACAGTTATGAACGTCTTGTATTTTTCTAAAATGCGAAGCTCATTTTGCTTATGGTACTGTCAAAAAGGGGCAGCTAGACCTGTGTTTGTTTGGTGGTGGTGGTGTGGTGCTAAGGTGTATTTGATATAAAACAGATTATAAGGTTTATTATATAAGGATATATATACATAGAAGAGGAAGGAAATGGAGGGAAGTGACTAGGAGCTAGTAGCCAGTCATGCATGTTGTATATAATGTCTTTTTACGCCTACTCCGCATCGTATCGTTGCTGTGATATCGTAGGTGGAGGTACAAAAAGGTATAGGAGATTCTCATGCGTGTAGTGGGCGTGGCCCTGCAGACATTTGAACGCGTTGAAAATTTGTTAAACCTCCATTTTAGAGCATTAGTTATTTTAGTTTCTAAGTGCCAAAAACTGCCATGCGCGTACGTTGGCAAACGTTGGCAAAGCTCCGCCCGCTATACTGTAGAGAAAGAAAGATAGTAACAAACAAGATCCAATAAACAATGATTGCATGAGCTTGATGCAATGTTGCATTTGCATGGTGAATCATACTGCGCGAGTACATATCTTCTCCACTGCAAGCTTCAAAGTTGAAAGCATAGCCCAGAGTGACATAGGATAGGTAAATTTTGAGTCTAGTTTGAAGACACACATTGAAAATAAAACAGCTTCAAGGTATGTAGGCATCTGGAACAAAAGAAATGTTCGAATTTCAAAATGTTTCAGAAAAGTTGTTATTGCGTCTATTTTATAGCTGCGAGTAAGATTGATAACGATTATTTGTTGGCAGATCGCTTTTATCATGGCCTAAAGTGGATAAAGCGATTTCTGACCATGCAAGATGCGAGTGTGGTTCCGGGGCTTCCAGCTAATGTCCCGGCTGTAGTGGACACATAACGGTATACAAAGAATTTGGAGTATAAGCTGACATGGACTAGGAGGAGCATAGTGCAGGGTATCATAGAAAAATTATGTGACTAAAAGTTCTGGCAAGCCTTTTTTTGAATTTCCCATTACCACAAAATGATAAAATGGCTCCATTGCAACGTATATGTATATATGACGATATGGCACGAAATTTGGTGTGTACGCGTAGTCGGACTAGGGAAAGTATGGGAATTATGAAAAAACTTATGAGAATAAAGAGCGAGGGGCTCCCCTGAGGTAGGCAAAACTTCAACTTCACACGAGTTTTTTTCAATGTACATAAATTTTCAGAACTTCCTCTTCCCTTTGTTAGGATCCGGAACAACGACTTTGAGGAAGAAAACGAACGCTCTCCAATCGAACAGCAATGGCTTGCCATACCAAAAAATTTTTGGGAGTGCGTGGCTAACGCCCACCTTCATCGGAAAACTTTTGTCGCCCCCCCCCCCCCTCCCCCCGAGCCGAAATCTTGGGTACGCCACTGTTTTGATGGCCAAATGAAGGGATGGATGCCAGTATCCGCTGCTGATCAACTCATTAACGAACATGCAAATTTTTAGTTTATCTGCCCTCCAAGACCAAGGCGTTTCACTGGGAATGACACTTTTCAAAAAAATTTACGCACACTATTTACAATAAATCTACAGTAACTCTGGAAGGCTTGAAAATGGGTGATTTCTGGATTCAAAAAAAAACTCCAAAAATGTATCTCGACCAGTCGTCATCTCGATGAGATGCAAGCCTTGATAAATCATGGGTGTCATATAGTCCTACGCAATAATCATTGCATGACATACCATGGGTTATAAGCGGTCGTCAGTGATGAGGGCACGAGACTGGACGATTAACATGTCTTAGTTGATCTATGAAATTCGTTTACGCTTTCCACAACCAAATTCTTCACTTCATCGCTTCAAATCCAAAACGCGACGTAATTGAACCATTTTCGAAGCAAATGAAGTGTACGAAGTGGTCTAAGTAAGTAATCCTGGCGTGCACTTCTAGGATGGCCTTTGACCCTTTTACTAGGTCTACTTCAACGTCTATAGGCGGCTTTATACATACTGCATCGGTAATCTCTCTAACCCGCCGAAAGCCGCTGGCAGCTGCCTGTAACCGATGATAGCTACCTGCAACTGCAAATAACCGCCTCTCAGATAATCGCCGGGAACAGGCGGCCCGCAAACTCGCGCTTTCCTGCAAGCGGTCAGCAGAATTTTGGGGCATGGCTAAACTTTCAGCGGGCGGCACTTCCTTTACGGTCGCATATTCTGTCAGCGGGCAGCAATACAGCACTTTCTGCGAGTGCTCGGCAAATAGTTTCTTTCAGCGAGCGCGGCCAAACTTTCAGCAGGCGCTCAGACTCTTTTTACGCAGTTACGGGCGTACGCCGAACAAAAGTGAGACTCTATGGGCAGAGATGTCATCAATGATTTAACTACCCATATTTGGGGTACCTTCTTTCAGCAAAAAGTACCCTGGGCAGTGCGGTCCTTGATAAAGGACCGTGCGGCCCACAAAAATTTTGCATTTTTTCGCGGAAAGTTCGCGAAAATGCGACCGCTGAGCCGCAACTTGTCCATCCATAGAAAGACCGCGATAGTTCTTTAGCGTTCGTCTAAAAATTGACCAAAATTGTTCCAAATTTCTGTAAGCGGACCGCAAGAAATCAACAAACTATTTTTCCGGTGCCCGCTTGCCCAAAATTCGCGTAGCCGCCTGCCCCGGCGATTGAAGGAAGGCCTTGTCGTAAATAATATGACATGGCTTGCTGTGACGTTAAGCTAGGGCCAACATCAAAGCGGGAGCGCAACCTCGGATAGTCTCTAGTTAGTGATATAAGTGATGTTCTTGATAACCGAGACGAGTTCGTAACGAAATTGTACTCCTTTTATCAAAAAAGCTTGTGCTTTAGGTTGCGTTGATTGATCTCTTGGCCAGCAGCTCTGCTTTGCTCTTTTGCTCACAAGCTGCTGATGCAGCAATGTTTGGTCCCACGGATATACCGCATAATTCAAGCGCTAGCCCGCGAATGCCGAGAAGATTTTGTGTTTGCGCGTCCACAAATGAGGGTACCTTTATATCGCGCCGGCACCCGTTGCCAGCAGACCGTAGCAGCCCGTAGCGCCGTCGGCAGCGCGTAGGAGCCCGTAGCCGCCGCTGGCCGCTTTTAAGGAAGCGCAAAATCATTAAAATCATCATGCTTTCTTTCTTCCACGCTTTTTTCTTCCTATTGCCGCTAATGTGCAGTCACACATTGCAGAGGTATTCAAGATGAGCACCTATAGCCAAGGAAAAGATTGGAGAAAACCATACTTAAAAATAAATAATTAGCACATTTGCAGAAACTGGGCATCCAAAGTCAGAAGAAATCACACGCGAAGAAACTTTGGCGAACTAGGGTTCAACTGCGAGAGGAAAACTGAGCACCAATAGGATCAATCTAGGGCAATGATGTCGAACTGCGGGATTAGGAAGGAAAAAGCGTGGAAGATGGAGAGCGTGGGCAGTTGCACTTGAAGTAGTAAGAATTTGATAATTTTGCGCTTCCTTAACGAAAGCAGCCAGCGGCTGCTACGAGCTGCTACGGACTGCCAGCGGCGGCTTCCGGCGCAGTATGAAGGCACCCTGAAAAGCCAAAAAAAAACGCCTTGCGACCACTTAATTGTTCTTTCCTGGGTCAACTCTTCTGATCCAGTGAAATAAAATAGCGTGACACTTATTTTTGATAGTTGTTAAGATAAGCAGTAGCGCCCGCACAAGCACCAATAAACGTTTTCAGAACAATCTTCGGTCTCGCAACTTATTTATTAAGCAGTGTTTTGAATGGGGTGCAGCGGGCTCTGAAGAAGGCCATTTGCTGGGACGCCGAAGGTTAAATATTGGTTACCAACCTTGAGTGCAACTAACAAACATAACATCAAGTGGGAATACAAATCATGCAGTATTTCGTCAAAAGCGCTCACAAGGGAACGATACTCGGTGTCCGTGGCCTTTTGAAATGAGATGTATACCATTACACTCGCCTTGGAACCGTGATTCCAAATCCTACTTCCGTTTCTGCTAATCGCTTCAAGGATGTTATCATGGATTGCGCGGAGTTTGACTGCCCAGTGAAAACCTGTCGGAGCACGAATGCCATAGGTGCGCTGTGGTCTAGTGGTTAGTGCGATAGCCTCATGAGCTGATGCAGGTCTAGGTTCGAGTCCTTTTGTGTTTTTTAGTTTTGCGTTGCCTCAATTAACCTTCTTTCACATCCTCAAGTTAAGTGAACGCTCTTACTCTCGAAAAAATGCGGAATTTTGGAAAAAATGACTACTGTTTACGCTAAAATGTATTCAGTGGTCATAATTCGAGTAAAGCTTTCTCGAACAAGCTTAATTGAGGCAAAGATAATGCAAAAGTAAAAACGCAAAGGATTTGAACCTACATCAACTTATGAGGCTATCGCACTAAGCATTAGACCAGAACGTGGTTGCGGGAGGCCGTTCCAATGACCATATTTCCCTTAAGCGGGCAAACTTGGATCGAAATTCCTTCATAACTTCTTTCAGAGAAACGATTAGCAGAAACGGAAGTCAGATTCGGAATTAGCGTTCGAAAACGAGTGTAATGGTATACATCTCGTCTCAAAAAGCCACGGACATTGAGTATCGTTTCCTTGTCAGACTCTTGCAGAACTTGTTTGGACAAGCTATTTTTCACAACATTTTGAACACTGACCGCAACATTGTCACGCACGTTTCCATAAGTTCGTTTTATTTTTAGAAGACTATAGAGGAGCAATTTTCAGCAAATCAGTCAGTTATTTTTCGATGTAGCGCACGATCATTCGCCTCGTTCCTGTCACATTGTCAGTTCTCCAAACAGCAGGTCGATAAAAGTCATCTATGTGTGAGATTGTCTTAGTCGGCACAAGCACCGTTCATAAGGTATGGAAAGAGCGGAACAGTGGCGGACCGAGGCGGAGGGGGCGGAGAGGGGGGGGGGGCGGGAATGGGTAGCGAAATTTTTGAAACTTACTTATCTTATATATAAAGCTGAATGTCTGTTTGTATGTCTGTATGTCTGTATGTATGTCTGTCTGTCTGTACGTATGTTCCGAATAGAAAATTCCATTTCTGAACCGATCCGGACCAAACTTGGCACACATACACTTCGGGCCCCGGCGGGTGTCATAGGCTACTTTTCGTATCGATCGATATCGATTTTATCGATTTTTTGCAAAATTTGAGCTACGGGGCTGGGAGTTGACACAGGGGGGTAAGTGAGCATGGGGATTCCGAATACAATACTAGTTTTCAAAATCGTGCATTACTTTTATCGATTTTATCGATTTTTTTGCAAAGTTTGAGGCTACGGGGCTGGGATTTGGCACAGGGGGGTAATCGAGCATCCAGCCCCCTAGCTCAAATTTTGCAAAAAATCGATAAAATCGACATCAATCGATAACGAAAAGTGGACTGTGACACCCGCCGGGGCCCGAAGTGTATGTGTGCCAAGTTTGGTTCGGATCGGTTAAGAAATGGAATTTTCTATTCGGAACATACGGCGGAGCCGGGTATGCCAGCTAGTGTTATATGATACTTACAGTCAGTTTCCAGGAAGGTTTTTTCTCAGTTTTGATAGGATTTCAGTTTAAATCAAACCTGCATTTTGTAATAATGATACATACACTCCTAATTCATGCTTCTTAGAATTTTCGTTCCTCACCTCAAATCAGAGTTTTGGGTTTGTTTTCTTCACAGAAGCTGAGGGACAATCTTTTTTGGCGTAACGCTCGTCTACTAGCGGCGTATCTATCACTGGTTGGCCAAAATTGCTCACCGTGCGTTTATCTGTAGGACGTGACTGTCCACAAAATTTTGAATCTTCTGGAGAAACACTGGTGCTTCTGCTTTTCGCAGAAGATGACTCATGCGACAATCTTTTGACTGGAACAATAAGAAATGAAGACGCATTTTTACTCAAAATGTGTTATTCGATATTTAGAAAACATTGTGAATGCTATCCTCAACCTAAGAATGTCAACATAATCCAATGATATGATAAAGAGCACACGAAATTATTATTCTTTGGAAAAGAAGTTTTTCCAGATGTACAAGCATGTAACTGAGATTAAAACAATGTCACAAATACGCCTAAAAAATCTACTGTTATCATTGCACCTAATGATCTAAAACTATACACACAGGACCATAACGGTATTCCTTCAAGAAAATTTGCAAAAAACCAATTTTACTGGAACTCTACGAAAGAGTGGCTACACCCTTCTACTGCAGATATTTTTTACTTTATAGACCGTGGACTAGAAACCCTTATGAAAAAGAAGTGGTAAAGGAATCATTTTTCCGTAAAAAAATCAACTTTTTCGTTTATACTTCAGTGATAGATGGGTTTTTTCTAAAGGCTAATTATACAAAATCGTAACAACTTCAAAACATCTTATAAAAGCAGTTCATTGTTCAGCAAGTTCCAACAACATCTGATAGAAGCAAAATTCGTCTATTTTGAACACAGCGCCAGCGTACATTGGGTACCCAAATTCAATTTTTTGGAACTTTTACACTTAGACAACAGAAGCGATAGTTTATGTTCTTTATAACATGATGAAGTTGAAATGTACTTGATTACTAATTTTAAAAACAGTTCGAATGTGGTAGATACAAACTATTGATAGTCGTATCAGCCCTCATTTCTGACAGACATTTCTCCCAGAATCAAGCTGGCGAATGAGAAGATGGTCCCAACCATGCAGAGCCAGTAAGAATAGTCGAGCTGAGATGTGGAAAAGCTTAAGTCATTAAAGGCAGCGTCCAGCTGGTTTATCGTCTTCAATGTGACCTCGTGGAAACCCCAAAAATTTCTCAAACTCTATCTTGAAATTAGTAGACGAGTAATCGGCACTGTTTCCATCGTAAGTAACACTAAATTTTGTCATATTCACGGGGGCCAATTACACAGTATGCGCGTCGACTATGCTTGCCACGTGAGAACGCGCCAGGCGGTCGTCTGTGGTCGGGCGAAGCGGAAAAAATGTGCGTGGGAGGCCATCTTATACAGGGTGTCCCAAAAAGATGTGCACACTGTTTGATTGTAAATAACTCTCTTGTAGTGAAGTGTTTCGAGAAGCTTTAGGTACCATTTTGTAGAGCTAGGTTCAACTTAGATTTACAGTGTAGAGCGAATCGCCCTTCATTCATTCTTACTGTAGGAGCACGGTAGAAACTTAAAACATATGGTGTCACTGTGAAAAAAGGGGCCGTTTCAAAAATTTTCAAAAAAAAATGTGGAAATTTGTGTAATAGGGTTTTTATGGACCCTGAGTTCAATACCCAACTCTTTACAAGGTTGAGAGGCTTTCTAAACGGTGTAACCGCACTTTTTAGGAGCACTTAAAAAACGTCTGCTACTGCTTACCTCGCATAATTTTTTAATGAAGCATTAGGAAGAGTTGCGAACTTCACATTTGGAATCAGCAACTCTAGTTAGCCCAGCGTGAGAGTTTTCAGTTTGTTTTGTTTTCTTTTTGGAACAAAATATGGCCCTTCATGGCTCAAAACCCTTTTAAAAGTTTCTACCGTAATCCTACAGTAAAAATGAGAGACCGGCGATCCGCTCTACACTGCAAATCTAAGCTGAACCTCACTCTACAAAACGGTACCTAAAGCTTCTGGAAACACTTCACCACAAAAGAGTTATTTACAATCAAACAGTGTGCACATCTTTTTGGGACACCCTGTACATTGTACAGTAGTATGGGTGGAAAAGATTTGAGTGAGCGCGCTTTCAAAGGCAGTGGCTCAGGGGAATTGCAACTGCGCACTTTCTGCTCCTTCTTGGCCTTCTGGATGCATTTAGACTAGATCTGTGCTTGAAAATTAAAAAAAATGGTTTCTGTGGCGTTCTCGGGCCTTGGAGAATGCCGAGGAGGCTGGAGCGCAGAATCCCGCCAAAAACAATGAATGGCTGCAGGAGACTGTAACACCACTCATTTTGGCGGCAATCGGCTGATTGGCCCCAGGCAGCCAATCGCGACTCGGCTGCGGGAATCTCCGCTCCACCTCCTCAGCAATCTCCTATGCGTAACGCCATGCCACTTTTTTAACTTTTCAAGCACATTTCTGGTCTGCACGCATTCAAAAGGCCAAGGAGGAGCAGAAAGCGCGCAGTTGCAGTTTTCTCGAGCCAGTGCCTTTAAGGATAGTTAACTAGACATAAGAATTATGTGACTTACATAGATATCCACGCCCAACGCTTTGAGCATCTCTAAAAAATGGAAAATTCGTAGCAGTTTTAGAAGAGTGGCGCAAAAAATATGAAATCATGAAAAACAACCAACTTACGAGTATTTCTGTCATAAGTTGCGGCATAGACAATGAGCACATACAGCAATAGTATGGTCACTATAAGTTGCTGGCTCGTAAATCCTCTTAAGAGATGATAACGCCAACTATTGAGAACTCTGAACATTTGCGATGATTCAAGTCGTAAAATATTGCAGGTCTTTTATAGCTCAAAATCTGTTGCGATGAAAAAACTCGTTCAAATGTCAGCTACAAAAATATTCAGAGCCTGAAAATGTGGGTTTCTTACAGAGCTGCGATGACTGATATCAAAACGAAGAACTGTACTATCCAAGCGAAAATCATTGCAAGAAAAGTTGTGATTGCCCAGCCGTCAGCATTCTGTAAAAAATATTTCACTTGAATTTATCTCTAGAGAAATATTGACCTCCCAGAAAATGTCACAAGTATTGTCGTTGACACAGCCCCAGGGGAAGATTCCTTTAGACCGTTTGACATTTAGTTGAGCGTTAACAGCGGCGGTTTTCCAACCTGCAAAAGAATTGACGAAATGAATAAGAAACTGACCAAAAAAGTTGATTAATTTTTTCGGTCACTTCAAAATAGGCAAACCTTGTGTGAATAATGCTATACTAATAAAGACGTAGGTAATAAATGCAGAAATTCCAGCTCCCAGTAAAAACATTTCTCCTATGAGACCAAATTCGCAACGCTTTTGGCACTCTTCTTATGCTTTCTCTTCTTCTAATGAAGGTTGACAAAACGATCACTGTTTGTCTTCGCAAATGACTCATAGAAACACCGAACGCGGCACAACGAGCTTCAAAGCATCTTTTGGAGCCTGTTAGCATCGATTTACAAAATGAAGACAATGACGGAATTACAAGCTGAACTACCACGAAGTCTGAAAAAACTTGTCTAGCCCTATTTTCTCCTCCTCAAAATCCAGCAGAAAATGTAATTTTAATTTATAGAACCTACCGGCGGCTGTAAGGTGGGGCTTCGTGACCTAATTGAGGCCAGGTGGGCAGACTGCGAAAGAGCACCAAAGAGCACGCGCACGGGAGAGATGCAGACTGCGTCGCGTTCGCGAGCGGCATTAATCAGGTCACAAAGCCCGCCTTCCAGCTGCCAAGCAGTTGAATCAAAGGTTACTTCCTGAAGTGCTATTATATAATTAAACTCAATGTTTTGCTAAACTGTCGAGGGGTGTAAAGTCACATTTCCATCAAAAATGGCTATGTAATCATCACGCTCTTAGGACTGGGAAAATATCATGAAACTATAAAACTGTAAAATTTGATAAAGAGGAAAACTGCGGCATATCAATTACCTTCACCCCCCCCCCCCTCCATCCTCTCGATTCCACAGTGAATGAATCATGGCCATGCAAAACTGAACGCCAGCAAGAAGTCGAACTCTTAAATTTTCGAATGTAGCGTCACCTTTTTCTCCAAAGTTTCAGAAGTTTTTTAGAACTAGAAATTAATGCATGCTATCCTCAAGCTAAGAATGAGAATCTAGCCAATGATATGACGAAGAGCACACAGAATTTATTCTTCTGAAAAGAAGTCAAGAAAAATTTGAGAGTCAAAAAACTTTTCAAAGGAAGTGGCCGAAATCAGGCACATTAAATTACAGGTTTTCATTCCCCCCTCCCCCACACTAAAGACATTTTTGCGATTAGCGTTAACACTTATCCTATATTTTCGCAATAATTTCTTCTGGTGATTTTGCATTACTATCAATTTTCGCTAAGCAGAACTAGCCATCACATAATTTCAGGAACAGCTCAGCTTAGACTAAGTGGTGGGTCTTTTTTCAGAATTATGTATATTATCAGCTTCTGAAGATTTTTCATCACTTAGGTAGGAAACACAACGAATGATCTGAACTTGCTGTGATTCACTGCTAAAAACCCTTGAAGTTATTTTAATATCCTCGATAGTCTAAGACGTGACGGGAATTCTACTATCTTACATGCTTCCAGTTCACCTTCTATCTTCGCAGTTCAAATTCTATGCATAGGGCATTTGAAAATTCGCGACGATGGCGCGACCGCGATTTTCGACAACCGCATTTTCTTAGTTTTCAACTCTATTCGAGGGTTTTCTGCTTACGTATGATAGTAATTACACATCTGGATGTGACTGAGCTGAGCGTTGAGGTGATCCTTTTTGTTCGAGCGTTTCATGGTCCTGTGAGCGCAACGACCGCAGTTAAATCCGTCGTCACGATTTTATAAATGAATTCTAAATGCGAGGGAGCACTGTTAGTTTTTCGGATGATACGAGAAGTACTCCTCAAATCATTTACCTCTCTTACCCGAAAAAGTGTTACAGCAACTCGCGACAAATATATGCATGGTGTAATTCATATACGCTAATCCATTTGTCATCTACGAGCTGGAAAATCAAGTTTAATCTTGCCTAAGAGCGACCGTGATCCTGTAAAGTAGTCTCATTTTTATGAGCGACCATGATCCTATGAAGAAGTCTCATTAAAAAAAACTGCTGCGATTACTCGTAAGTCTTACACTGCAATGAGCCCAGACAGCTTCATCAAGTAAATATGTTGAAAACGACGAACATCTCGAGCTACGTCAACAGCAATTTATTGTGAACTTGTAGGTTATCACCTTGAATTAAAACATTTGGCACGAATTTTTTGGCATGATGAGCTGATACATTGCCCATAAAGTCATAAAGCCTAAAGTGAGATAAATCGCTTGATGGTGAACAGTTAGCCACAAAAAGTCGGTAAGGAGAAAAGAAGTTGAGTAAATATAATACTAACTTGAAGTAGATGACCTGGGGACTATATAGAGAAAGCCGAAGAAATAAATAGTTGACCTATAAACAAAGTAGACAAATACTTGTAGACCTATAAATCTCTGTAACAATTATTCTCAATCAAACAAGCACATAAAGTCGATGAGGAGAAAAGACAATAGAGTATAGGTCATTCTTAAAATCGTGACACGAGTTTGACTGCGGTTTCTGCGCACAGAGGAACATAATGCAAACAGGCATCACCTCTACGGTCAGCTCAGTCACTCCCACTGTCTGAATACTATCATATGTATGCAGGAAAACCATTGATTAAAGTTAGAAACCAACAAAATGTGGTTGCTAGAAGCGCCTGCGGGTCGCGCGCGGTCGCGCCATCGTCACAATTTTTCGAATGCCCTATACATAAAATGTAAAAAACCAAACAAAAATGTGATGATGAGAAAAAATAGTAGGCCTGTAAACATAAAGACAAACTGGTACTTTTCCGTTATCCGGCCTATTTTTTAAAAGGCTCTCATGAAATACGTTTTTTAGTCTAAGAACAATTTTTTACAGACACCATAAGGACTGCCTCCCTACCACGTCTCAGAAAAAAACTGACACGTTTTGGTCCATTGGCATGTTTTTTCGAAATCATTTCAGGTGAAGTAAAAGAGCACTTGTGATCACCTAAAAGCTGTTTATATGGTTTTTATAAAAGCAGAAAAATCTAGAACTTATATCAGAACATCTTGATTGTTTTAAAATGATTCAGCACTGTCTTTCTCTTCAAACTTTTCACCTTGCGAATTTAGCCAGACGAGACTATAAATGATGGCTTGAAGTTTCTTCGCTTCTGCTTGTGTGGGTTATAAAAATGTGCCAGTGATTTATTTATTTTTTCAGAGTGCATGGCTGACGCCACGCATCTTCATTCGAAAAAAATTTTGCCGCCTTCCCCTCCCCCTCAAACGGAAATCCTGGGACCGCCACTGGGACGGAACGAATAATCTGCTAGAGCGAGATCTCAGGAGGCACTGGTACTAATCAGGGTCGAGCAAGAGGTGTGGCACACAAGCGCCGGATGCCCCCCCCCCTATCTTCTGTCTCAATAACCCCCCCCCCTCTCCATCTTCTCTTCCGTAAGCATGACATAAAGGCTCCATCATGCATAATTAGGCACACACTCTCAATCATCTTGTTGAATAACCACCATGGGCCAAGTTTTAGCAAACTTCAAAGATTCCCAACATTGGTAAACATTTTCGAAAATGTAAATATATTCCAAAAGTGAATCAGCTAATTCTTTTTGTACTCAATACAAAGCATTACCCCCTATTTTCCCATACCACGAATTCTGCTTCAAATAACCGATAAACTATGGAATTAGAAGCAGGCCGAAATCTCGTTTGTCCCATTTTTCGCTTTCAATGGCAACGCTTTCACTAGCTCTAGCTTTTACTCATAGAGAAGAAGAATCGGACCCAAATTATTCCTATGAAAACTATAAGAATCAGGTTATCAAACCAGTATGTGTTTTGTTCGCTAAATTTCTTTTTGGAGGCAAGTTGAAGGCAGTGGATTAGCAGACCCTTATCGAATTTTGGTGTATTTAGGTAGTAGACATTCCAAGTACACTGTAGCCCAAATCCCACTTGCCAATTTATGCGCTAAGTTCTGAACAATGCGCTTCAAATCTCCACCAGCCCCGCCCCTTTCCATTGAGTGAGCGGGCTGGTGGAAATTTGAAGGTTTGGGCTATAGTGTGTTTGGGGGGGGGGGGAGGTCTACTACCTAAATCCACCAAAATTCGAGAAGGGTCCAATCTGCTAATCCACAGCCTTCAATGAGGTGTGGCACCCCTAAACACCCCTAAAAAGCTGTGGCGGCCATAGCTTTTTAGGGGTTGTGCCACACCCCATTAACTTAGCCTTCAAATATGTCTTTTTAATAGGGTTGCTACTGCTAAACCTTTTTCTCTGCATAGCAGAAATTTCATTTAGAATTGTTTTTCTTAGGAAAACAAGTAGTCGTTTTTCCTCAGCTATGCAAATGGAAAACAGCGCGGTTGAGTTACGGTAATATGCTAAGTCTGCACAACTACGTGAATCGCGAGGGAAGGCGGCAAGGACAAGTATATTCGATAGCCTGATCCTTGTAACTTTTGAAATAGTGATTTGAGCCTGATTGGTCTTCTTTATTCTGAGGAATTAAAAGCTAAAAATGGGACAAAAGAGATATTGGTTTGCTCATAATTCCAGAGTTTGGAGATTAGTTGAAATGGGATTCCTAATACGTGCAAAGAAGTAATTGTATTTTGTAATAAGTGCAAAAAGAAGTAGTTTACTCACCTTTGAAACGGAGTTATCATGTCGAATCGCTGAAACTTGGCCCTCAGGGGTTATTTGACATGCTAACTACAAAAACGGTGCTCTTATGGTTTTAGGATGCTCTTGATATGCTTACTGTGCGTGTACGACGGCAGGCCAAAACATCGGTGCTGGTATCTTGTACAAAGAGCCTACCAGACGTTGATTGACATAATGTCGCTAACATCACTACCACCTCGATAACGACCCCCCCCCCCACCTTCCTGACCCCTCTACGACCCCAGATATGGCGGGCCACAACCCACGCTTGACCCTGGTACTAATGTACCTCCCGGTCAAGTCTTGCAGGACAGCTATGACAATGCTTGCCGTATAGGGTCAGGAAACGAAATCTTTTCTCGTGCAGAAAAACTCAGTGGCCCTGCTTATTAGGCCTTCTCTGCAGTAAGGATTCATTCAGACGGTTCATTCAAGTTGCGCATGGTATTATCTTCTTTTTGTCTAGCAATTTTTAGTATAGGACGTCCTGCCCATCCAGCGGAATATCTTGTTCAGGAATCTTTTGGTTGACTCTTTGTCTCTTGAAGTAAATCAATTTTTGGCATTGACCGACAAACGCCAATTTC